TTGCACTTTTACTAATTTTAAGATGCTCTTTCTAGCTGTGGTGATGGATTTTGTTCTTCTTGCCGAGATCAAAATTTAGTCTATAGCTATGGAATCATCTATTGAGTCCAACTCGTATCTTGAACATATACAGTATGTACTATTTAAAACACAAACAGGAATGCTTTATCAGATATAATCCAATCTCAAACTCTCACTGGACAGATATAGAGGAATCATCTGTCTCTAGTATATATATATTGGAATTACTGTACCTTCGTCCATTCTGAGCTTCATATGCATAATTAAACAATCCTAGGACAGCTTTACGGTCTTCAACGCGGGCAATGAGCAACATCAGAGAGACATAGGTCACAATCAGATCAAGATATGCTCTTGTTAAGTCGAAATTTAAGGACTGAAAACAAGAAGGAAAAACAAACTTCTTAAACATTCCATTTATATAACACTTCATAGTTCTATTATTTTAACCCAGTTATAGACTTACAGTTCTATTACTGTGTTGCAGACTTACAGTAACCAGTAAAGTGGCGATGGTAGTTTTACTCATGGTAGTTTACTTACAATGTCAAAGTTGACAAAACTTGCATCAATCATTGTCAGTATTTCACTTGTGTGATCCTGAAACCAAATGTTTAAAATAATTTAGTTAAGTGGTGGGGGTGATGATGATGGTGGTGGTGATGATGATGGTGGTGGTGGTGATGATGGTGGATGATGATGGTGATAGTGGTGGTGGATGATGGTGGATGATGATGGTGATGATGGTGGATGATGATGGTGATAGTGGTGGTGATGGTGGATGATGGTGATGATGATGATGATGATGGTGGATGATGATATTGATAGTGGTGGTGATGGTGGATGATGGTGATGATGATGATTATGGTGATGGTGATGATGATGATTATGGTGATGATGGTGGATGATGATATTGATAGCGGATGATGGTGGTGATGGTGGATGATGATGGTGGATGATGATGGTGATGGTGGATGTTGATATTGATAGTGGTGGTGGTGATGGTGGTAGATGATGATATTGATAGTGGTGGTGGATGATGGTGGTGATGGTGATGATGGTAGATGATGATATTGATAGTGGTGGTGGATGATGGTGGATGATGATGGTGATGATGGTGATGATGGTGGTGATGATGGTGGATGATGATATTGATAGTAGTGGTGATGGTGGATGATGGTGATGATTGTGGTGATGGTGGTGATGATGATGGTGGTGATGATGATGATGGTGATGATGATGGTGATGATGATAGTGAAACAATGGTGGTGATGTGGAATTTGTCAAGCAAAACACAAAATTTGAAATAAAAAATAAAATTTCAAAACTTCTCACTTTAAACTGCATAACATCAACAAAGGTGTAATAGTAATTTGATAATCCTTTTACAATGTCTTTCTCTTGGCCTTGAATCGGTTGAGTCTGACCCTGAAATAATAACATTTTTCTTTAATTGCATGTGGCTCCGTTGGTGGGGTATTATGTTTCAAGCAGTCTGTCGTGGCAGAGTGACTATAAATTCCTCTTAGTCATATATGTAGAAATCTCGAGAATTTAAAAGAACATAAAACTCTTCAGACACTACCTTACCTTTAAATGACTTTCAAAATTGGGAAACTTTCGTACAATGGTTTTTATCGTAGCTTCCAACGGTTTGTCGGTCAAAAACGCTGGTCTGGACTTCGGATCTGAACATTGCTAAATAGTTAAAAATTGTTAGAAATAGTCATGTATCGATATGAAAATTTGCCAATATTCCAACAACCAATATCACAAATGACAATTGGACTTGCTCTAGAAACTTCATCATAACTATGACCAATCATGCGTTAACACTTGTCATACATGTGTACATTGATAAAATCTTTGAATATGGTTGTATATCAAATTTATGTTGAATTTATTTTTAGTGATGGGCAATACCAAGTACTCGGTATTCGATACCAGTGATACCACAAACAGCGGTATCGGTATCAATTACTGATGTGATATTGTTCAATACTTGCACTCTTTTTTAGACAAATTGTTTAATTTTAACTTATCACTTCTTGGTTGAATACGACTCATAAACCACTAAAATAACTCTTAATATTGAAAATGTGGTATCAAGAATAGAAATTTTGTGTTTATTTTGGCATCAAAATAAATCAATACCGAGCATCAAAGTATAAGTATCAAATTAAAAATCCTGGTATTGCCTATCACTATTTATTTTGAATTTAGCTTGCGTTTCTTCGCACTTTTATTACAAAATATTAGCTTATTGCTTGTGGGAGCAGATGAACTAAACTGAGGATGTGCAGTACTTCTCGTTTGCTCCCACAAGCATGAGGGAATAATATTTGAGATAAATGGTAGTAACATCAGCTCACAAAAAGCAGGTTTTTTGTTGCTCTAGCTGTGCAAGTAAGCTGCCTGACTGTCTCGTTCCTCAAATGAGATCATCAGGTGGCTGTGATATATGTAGGCTAGGATTCGGGCTGAACACAGGTTATATTCTCATGTAATGATGTGTTACAGTTTGTTACTATCAACATATTACACTGGTGGTAATACAGTTTTATTATAAGGTTTCATCGAAGTTAATTGGTTTCCTTCTGTAGAAACACTGCCTCACATTAGACAATAAGGGTGACTCTTACTGGACCTCTGGGGAGAACAATTTAGAACTGTTAGAGTTATCCAGTATAAATAAAGTCAGTCCTACAGTTCAAAAGTTCAGGTTTCCTCCTGTAGTATTAAAACACTAGTAGAATTTCCGGATTGTTCGAGGGATTGTTTACAATTTGTATCAACCTTTATATACAATTTATAAACAGCCCCTTTGGTGCAGAAATAAAAGCTTAATTCATTCGTATTCAACAAATTATTAAATCATAGACCTATAACCATACACCCCTAAACAATTAAGCTTTCATTTACAAAATAGCATTAAAAATAGCAATTTATCTAGTGCATTCTTCGATATATACAATCATCACATAATTTGACAAACTCACTTTCTTTATGTTATAAATTCGTGTTAACATGCCCTTTCCACGTTCATTTAAAATAATCAGTTTCTCCGCAAGCTTCTGCTCGCCGGCAGAAAGCCCTCGGTCCATATTTTTGAATTTTTTTCGACAAATTTGATTAAAATTTGCGTTCGACCTTCGAAAAGTTCAATTTGACACTCCTTCGGATTTGTGTTCATTTCACGTAAATCACATCCACCAAAAGGAGCGCACGTCGTTGGTGCCTGAGCGTGTACACATTGACATTTTAAAATATAAAGATTCAAAATTGTATTGCTTTAACCTGTAGTTGAATATTTTTTAGAGTATCAAATTCTGACATTTGCACCTAATAAAGAGCCTATTATATTGTCTGTTAAACTCTGTTCTCATGTTAAAAACATTGTCTATTTTTACGTGAAACATCCATGTTTTTAAACCATTTGATACGCAGGCAAAAATCTCGCATCTTGCAGCAAGTCTGCCAACAAAGCGCACAAGTTGTTACAGGTCTGCACACAAGTTGTTAGAAATTTAGACAGAACTTTAAACAGAACTGCACACAAGTTGTTGTGTTACAAATCTGTTCACAAGCTGTCGACAAGTTGTGTTCGCACTGCTTGTTCCCAGTTGTTGGAACAAGTTTAACAACGTGCAACAAGCTTGATGACATTATCAGACTTGTTACAAATTGTTCAGACAAGTCTGATACAGTCATGATATAACAAGAATGTTACAAGGTTGACGACACAAGGTTGTAACAATATTGTTATATCATGACTGTATCGGACTTGTTGTAACAACCTTACAACAATTCTGATAACATGAACAAGGTTGTTACAACTTGTTCCAATTAAACTCGTTGACAATTTGGGGCAACATTTTTGCGTGTGTATGCACGGTGTATGGAAGCGATTTTTCATACCCAGGGACGCCGGAACTGGGGGGGGCAGGTGGGGCAGACTTAGACTTGGATAAAGTCCGTCTCTCAAGAGTCCGAGGGATCGGGCGCGCGAGGTGCAACTGCGGACTTGATCCAAGCATAGATATCTTATATACACAATAAGATATCTATGGATCCAAGTCCATTCGTGACTGCGTGACATGAAAAATGAAACTTTGAACGATGGTTTTTATCGGAGCTGCCTTCGTAATTTAGGGGATTCCTCGCCTGATCGCGGGCTTTTCAACATGGCGACCAAAAACGAAGAAGCGCGAAATTTAAAATACGTTCAGAAAATTTGAAATTATGAGACGATCGCTTGCTCCTAGCCAAGTTTTAAAGCGCAAAAAATCTCCGTCGGCTGAAGATGATAGCGACAGCGATGGGGAAGAGAAATCGCAACGGCAGAAAGTACAAAAACTAAACCGTGAAAAGCCGAATTTTTTGAGCAAATTTTCTCAACACTCGGGCAGGCAGCCTTTCACGTCACTATGTGTCAATGGATCTGCGCAACTGACCGAACACGAAGCTCGCATCAAAAACATTTTGTCCAAGCCTTTTAAAGTGCCAATACCAAATTATCAAGGTTTGATTACTTGTTATTGTACTTGAATAATTTTGATTTTGAATTACATATTTACACCCTCGTCAAGGAGACTCAAGGACTTTGATTTTGTAAAAGTTAAAGACTTTGCCCGGGGGGGTGGTACGAATATTAGTTTTGATGGTCATTTTGTATTGGACTGATCTGTCATACAACTAAATAATATATGATACTATTAGAATGTTATTTCAATCCATACTTCAACTTGCAATTTATTTACAAGGCTCATCCAATGGTCGTACTTTGGGGATAAAACGACTAGGTCCCAGAAGATCCCTCCATGATCCTGACGACCCTGATGCTCTCATCTTGTACGAGCCACCCCTACAAACTGAACATGAGAAACTTAAATCAAACCAAGACTACGAAGTTCATGTAGTCGTCGACCCGATCCTATCCAAAGTCTTGCGGCCCCATCAGCGTGAGGGAGTGAGGTTTCTGTATGATTGCGTCACTGGAACGAAGATCCCAGACAGTTTTGGTTGCATTATGGCAGATGAAATGGGGCTGGGTAAGACGCTACAATGTATAACTCTTCTTTGGACGTTACTGAAACAAAGTCCGTCAGGGAAGAAGATGATTGATAAGGCTATTATTGTAGCTCCATCAAGCCTCGTTAAGAACTGGCATAACGAGATCAATAAATGGCTTGCAGGTAGGTTATTCGATACTAGTATCATCACCTAAACATCACCATCATCATTACCATCATCATTACCATCACCCACCACTATCATCACCCACTATTGTCATCACCACCATCATCTATTAATACCATTACATATCACCCCCATTATCATCCACTACCATCACCACCACCATCATCAACCACCATCATCACCACCACCATCATCACCACCATTGTCATCACCACCATCATCATTACTACCATCATGAATCACCATCATCATCACCACCACCTTCTTGTCAGTACCATTACAACTAGATTTACAGTAATACCATCTGATCCAATTTTATTTCCAGGAAAGCTTCATCCACTAGCAATAGACTCTGGTTCCAAGGATCAAATTGACTCAAACTTGACAAGTTTCATGGCACAGTGTGGAAACAGAGTGCACAATTCGATACTTATTATATCGTACGAAACATTCAGGTGTCATTATGAGAAGTTAACAAGCAGTGCTGTGGGTCTCGTCATCTGTGACGAAGGACATAGGTTGAAGAATCTTGAAAGTCAGACGTACCAAGCTCTTGATAAGTTGAAGACTCAGAAAAGAGTTCTGTTGTCAGGTATAAACTATTGTGAATTGACGAGGCGACAGCCGAGTGTCTTATATCTGATAAAATACGGACTGCGAGTGTTTTAAATGGTTTCAAGAACTCATTAATAATTCATGAAGAAAACACAAAGAAAAATCATAAGCGTGTAAAAGTGTTGTATCTTTATATGTGATAGAGATTTCCCTTGATTTACATAAACTTTAACCTTGATTTTCTCGACTTACACAACGTATTTTCTAAAAATTACTTAGTCGCCAATGAATTTACTAGATCGATCGTTTGAAGCAATTTAAACTGACATAAGCAGTAGTGTTTTATCAGACCTAAAGATACTCTGCTTCGCCTCGTATCTTTATATCTGATAAAACAATGCTGCTCATGTTTTAAATAATACTTATCCTCATGAATTATTAGAGTTTTTATTAAAAAATATGAAATGTTTTAAAATCTTTTCAGGTACGCCAATTCAGAACGACTTACTGGAGTACTTTAGTTTAGTTCACTTTGTGAACAGTGGGATGCTAGGAACCGCTTCGGAATTTAAAAGAAAATTTGAAAATGTTATCCTTCGCGGCCGAGATGCGGACGCCAGCGAATCGGACCGCCATAAAGGCACGGAAAAACTTAACGAACTCGTCTCTTTAGTTAACAAATGCATTATCAGACGAACTCAGGCGATATTATCCAAATATTTGCCTGTAAAGGTATGTTGGAAAGTTGCAACTCTTATCAATTTTGAACTGGTTCAAATTTTGGTAAAGGTTGATGAGAATTATTGCTCATTTCACCGGTTATTCTTTTCATTCAACTCTCGTAGTCTCGTCAACTCTTGTTCTCGTTTGACCGGGGCATGAGAGCTGAGAATCAAAACTCTCTGATGCAAACTCTCGTTTCTCAACTCTCATCAAATCTTATTCAAACTCTTGCTTCTCAACTCTCATCAACTTTCATGCAAACTCTCGCTTCTCAACTCTCATCAACTTTCATGCAAACTCTCGCTTCTCAACTCTCATCGACTTTCATGCACACTCTCGCTTCTCAACTCTCATCAACTCTCATGCAAACTCTCGCTTCTCAACTATTATTTAGATTCGCCTCTCTTATAGGTTGAACAAGTCGTGTGTTGTGCCCTAACGCCGGTACAAAATGAATTGTATCATCGTTTAGTTTCGAGTAAAGCTGCGAAGATAGAACTTGGGAAATCAGGCAGTATGTCGTTCTCGTCTCTCGCTTTTATTACTCAACTTAAGAAGCTTTGTAACCATCCGCAGCTACTTCTGAGTGATGGTAAGGAGGGGAAAAGCAATGAGGTTGATGGGCTTGAAGAATTGTTTCCAGGTTAGTAAAACGTGTATCATTGATGGTGATTATGATGGTAGTGATGATGGCGGTGGTTATTATGATGGTGTTGTGATGATGGTAATGATGATGATGATAATGATAATTGTGGTGAGATGATGATGATGACGATGGTGGTGATGATGATGATGATGATAATGGTTATGATGGTTTTTATGAAGGTGATGGTGGTGGCGATGACAATGATGGTGACATTGGTGATTGTTATCCCGGCCGATGGTGGTAATAATGTTGATGGTGTCTCACCAACATACATACATAAAACATAAAAATTTATTGAGGACAAACCTTTGTACTCGATACCACGCAGTGTTTTCGATCTTTTGAACACGGGCACACCACGAGATCGTAAAACACCACCTACACTACAATATGTCACATCAAATCCTTTCTACATCTTTACAGCTGGACACAACTCGAAACATTTCCAACCAGATTTGTCGGGCAAGATGAAAGTACTCGACTATATCCTAGCTATGACCAAATCGATGTCTAACGACAAAGTCGTTTTGGTCTCAAACTACACACAAACATTGGACCTATTCGAGAAACTCTGTCGATTAAGGAGATACCAGTTTGTTCGCTTGGATGGCTCGATGACTATCAGAAAACGGCAGAAAATCGTGGACCGTTTCAACGACCCTAGCGGAGGCGATTTTATTTTTATGTTAAGCAGCAAAGCCGGGGGTTGTGGCTTGAATCTCATTGGTGCAAATCGATTAGTGATGTATGATCCTGACTGGAATCCGGCCAATGACGAGCAAGCGATGGCCAGGGTCTGGAGGGACGGACAGAAGAAGAAAGTTTATATCTACAGGTTTTTGTAATTTTATTTTGTGAACTGTATACTACTATTTTAAGAATTAGGCTTCGTTTATCTAACAAGAGCAACACCACCACAGACAACAACAGCAACAACAACAGCGACATCAACAGCAACAACAACAGTAACAAAAACAGCAACAACAGCAGTAACAACAACAGTAACAACGACAACATGAGCAACAACAACAAAAACAGTAACACAACAGCAACAACAACATGAGCAACCAAAACAGTAACAACAACAGCAACAACGACATGAGCAACAGCAACATGAGCAACAACAACATGAGCAACAACAACATGAGCAACAACAACAACAGCAACAACAACATGAGCAACAACATGAGCAACAACAACATGAGCAACAACAACAACAACAACAACATGAGCAACAACAACATGAGCAACAACAACATGAGCAACAACAACATGAGCAACAACAACAACAGCAACAACAACATGAGCAACAACAACATGAGCA